GTTGCTAAAAGATTTCCAATATACATTTCCAATATAAATCTTTAAGAACAGCTCAAGGGAAGAGAAATTAGTGACAGGATCTGCCAACATTAATGTCAGTTTTTTTTTAGTTTCCCATACTTGATAATGAAGATATTAAAGATATAGAGATTTTTTTGTTCTTGAATATCTATTATATTTGAGGCACAGTGCTAAGGTATCTGGAATTCTCTTCTTTTATGCCCATAGAACAGATAGATCACATAGACCATGGAGCCTAGTGATCCTCTCTTTTCCAACCAAAATGAGTTTATTGAATCTTGTCAGACTACCTCCAGAAGTTGTAAGTTCTTCAGTATTCCAACCAGGTTCTGCCCCCTTCCAAATGAAAATATTTATTTTTCTAGTTGGTTATACCCAGAACTGTCCAAATTTCCATACCTGTAATCATAATACAGTAGAGCAATCAAAGTAAGTAAGTAAACTTGAAGAAGAACAGGTTAATTCTTAATAATGCAAATTAGTTTTCCAGCAATGTCCATGGTTAATATGACACAGACATGTAGGAGCAAGACTGATTCATAGGATTTTAGTTAGAAGCAAATTTTATTTTGTTAATCTTTATATTAAGATATGTCATAAAATATGTGGCAGAATATATTGCTTTAAATTAAGGCATCACTTTTATTATTCTGACAGTATGAAGCTGAGTCTTGTCAAATGTTTATATGCCATTGTTGATACTAAAAAAAGTTAAGAATCAGAGAAGCAGATCTATAGAAACATATTAGTCATTATTAAATGCTTGTTGACTCTCTTTTTTGCTGTTAATTCCAGCAGTTTGGGCACGGATTGCTGAGATGCAAGTGAGGGTGGAGCAATGAAAAATAATACTGTTCTTGCTATAAAAGACTTTGTGTTTTGTTTCTTGTGAATATATAAAGATCAATTCTGTCACCTAATTATCACTGTGAGCTACACTTTTGAGATTACTTTTTATTTCATGCTGTTAAATTGATTATAGTTCAATAGTTATATTTTATATCTATTATTTTATTCATACATTTTGGTTTAACTCAGCCCTAGATTACCACTTCACTTTCTTTTCCATGTTAAAAACATTATCAACAATGAAAAGGCAACCACTGCCTTTTAAAGTTTGCTGTCTCCTATTTGCTTGTCTCATCAGAGAGAGCCATTTGCAATCTTTGTCACATATTGAGTCTTAGAAGCCAGATTTCTTGGTACATCTATCTTTCCTGTTCTAACTACTCTTATTCTGACTCCCACTTTCTTATGTGATGTATCTTCCTCTCATTTCATTTTCTCCTTGTATTTTTCCCCTGATGTTAATGCTTTCCTTTTACTGTAGTATCAACCATTTGGGGAGTCTTTGCTATTTTTATTTTGTATAATTTAGGTCCTTTATAACTCTGCTAAGGTGGTTTATCCCTTCAATGTATATGTTAAAAGAATTTACCTCCTTCCCCTTTTAGAAACCTCAATTATTGGTTCACTATCCTGTGCTTTTTACTGTTTTTGTTTATCAAGCATGAGTCCTGACTGCTTGACCATCCTGAATGACATTTTATTTTATTATAGTTTTGCATATATTTACCTCTAAATTTCTAAATAAAATGCTTATATTGAAATTTTCTTACTTTTCATGTTTAGATATTATCTACATATTTTCTGTTGCTACAAACTTAATGCCTTAAACAACATAAATTTATTCCTAAAATTCTGTAGTTTAGAAGTCTGAAATGAGTCTCATACAAAAATCAAGGTGTCAGAATGGCTATGTTTCTTTATGAAGTCCTAGGAGAGAATCCATTTCCTTGCCTTTTCCACTTTCTGTAAGCCACTTGCTTGCTTTCCTTGGCATGTGGCCTTCTTTCTGTCATGTGTCTTTCTCTGACTCTCCTCTTCTGCTTCCTTCTTTCATTTTTAAGGTCTCTGGTGATAGTATTCTCCCTATTTCAGATCAGCTGCTTGGTAACTTCAATTCCATCTACAACCTTAATTCTCGTTTGACAAGTATGGTAACATATTCACAGGTCCTGGTATTAGGATGTAGACATTTTTTGCAAGGTGGGGCAGGATGATACTGCCTACCAAAGAGGATTTAGCTTTTAGAGCCAATACTCACTATCTCTTTTTCTATTCTTACCTAAATTATATAATATAGTATCACAATTTTAACTTAAGTTTATGTTTAATAGTATTATATTATGACCATATATGAATTATAATGTACTACCATTAAGTATTTTTTTCTTAAGCAACTTTTATTCTCTCTTCTCTTCCTCTAATGGACTGTATGGCAGCAGTATTTGAGTATATGTATGTAGGAGTGCTTTGTAAAGGCAGTGTTTCAAATGCAAAATACTGTCACTATCTTCGTGGTTGTCCTATTGACTCATGCCAGCTGACTATACATCTTACCAAAATACTGAAGTTCCTCTTTAAGTTCTGTGTGAAGTTCATATGATTTCTCATAAAAAAAGTTACTTGAAGAGTAACTACAGTATTTTGGCCTCCACTTGTAACAATTATAAATAGTGGCCTGCATTGTTAACTAATATTCGTAATACTGCCTATATCCAAGCCATGGTTTTTTAGTTTCAGTGCTTTTGTTCTTTTTGTTTAACCATGTTGCATCCCTAACAGATTTTCTTTCACAATTTCAGAAAGCAGCATTCATGTAGAACACAATGTGAGTGGTACCGTGAGTTGTGTAATGCCAAGACTCTGTTCTTCTCTACATTCCAGTGCTTATTACATTTGGGACATTTTACAGTTTTGGTTTGAAAGTGGAATGGAAAGAAACCCAGGTTATTTTATTAAGACTTTTGTTTTTAGAGCAGTTCTAGGTTCACAGCAAAATTGAGAAGGTACAGAGATTTTCCATATACCTTCTGTCTCCATACCTGCATAGCCCCCCCAATATCAATGTACCCCACCAGAGTGGCACATTATTTGTTACAATTGATGAACTTACATTGACACATCATAATAACCCAAAGTCCATGGTTTACATTACCAAGATTGTTTTTTACTAGCAACTTTTCTCCATTGTTGAAGTCTATCAAGAGATGACTCCAATTTATTTTTTAAAAATCTGAGCTTGTGGCATTAAAAACAAACTATAAAAAAGGCTTTCTTGTGAAATTACACATAACATGTTTTAGCTATTAGAAGAAGTTTTAAAATAGAAGTGGAATGATCATAAAAATATGAACTAAGTTCTTGATACTGTTAATCTAAACCAAGGTGCATTATATAGGTATATGAAATTGTTATCATATTAACAATTTTGATATTGTTTCAAATATTAAGCAACCTCTTTTGATAAAAGTCTTATATATAAATGCATTAGGTATTAACAAAGACCTACCATTTGTGACTGAATTTAGAGTCCTAAACTTTGTATACTGTGAAAGAAACTATGGCATCATTTAATCTTCTGAGTGAGTTTTTTGAGTCACAGATTTTGAGAATCTGATAAAATTACAGAAAAGTGTATAAATACATAACATTTTAGAGTCTTGTTCTGAGGATAGTAGATACCACTTCAAATGGAAACAACACAGGTGGTGAATATTAGAAAATAGCAGCCAATTAATATTTGTTTATGTAACAATCAAATAGATATTAGTCAATTGGGAGGTCTTTCTGAAGTAAGGGTTAGTAATGGGAAGGTGTTTCTTGATGATGTCCTTTAACTATTTGTAATCATGTACTGTGTTAGTTAATTACAGATTCTTGGGCCCCATCTCAGGAAAACTGTTGGGGGTTATGGGACTTCCTGACCTCATTAAGGTTATTAAAGATAAAAGATTTCAGAATAATGTTTAATATATCTATCATAGGAAGTTTATGATTTTTGTTTTATTTGAAAGTCCTTTAAGAGGAACTATTATATAAATAGTGAATAATATATATTTAATCAAAATCTGGAATGGGGAAAAGAAGGGAAATTATGTTGGTAGACTTTCATGAATATAGGCAAAATGATGGGTACAGTCTTCTGTGCGGGGATCAAATTGTATTATACACCTTAGCTCTTTGACTAACTATAGAACTTGAGCAAAAAGTTACTTAATTCCTTTAATCTGTTGTATCTTAATCTGAAAATGAGGATAATGAACATTTTTATTGTTGGCCTGTTATGAGGGTTGAACGAGAGAGATAGATATGAGCTTAAAATAACATAAGTCCTCAGTAAATATTAGTTGATTAGAGTTTTTCATCTTTATCATTATCATTTTAGTGGTTTAAAATATTGTTAATGTAATATTCTTTAAGTTTCCCTGACTGTTTAATCCTCACCTACCATTTCAGGCCAAAATGAATTTCTCCCTTCTAAATTAAAATTTTTCTACCATTTATTTTATGATAATTATTCCCTTCTTTACTTTTATGTCCTTCCACAATAGCATATAATAGAGATGTTAATGCTCACTTTTGGTGAATTGATATAGAATTCCTTTGATTCTTTTATCTACACATGGCATGTCAGTTTTGTTTATAAGCTATTGTATTTTAACTTGGTTGCCATTTTGAGATACCTTGTTTCTTTCTCATCAACCCACCTGACCAGGATATTTTGAGGAGTCTGTTTACCCTAAAAGTTTCCTGTTGAAATAAGATGTCTCAGCCTAAATGAAACTCAATTTATAAATTACATTTGTTAAAAATCTTGTTCTTGTATTCTAAAACTAAATATGATTTATTAGTCTCCTGTTTTGTTAAAACACGTGATTATTTAAGATATTTACTTCTTGAGCTTGACTAATCAAGAGCTGACTACATAACTGTAGTTATGAGAATTCAGCCCATTTATTTTAAACTTGCATCCTTCCACCTCCTAAACACTGAACTATGAAACCTAACACAAATACTGTAAGAACATCTGAGGCAGATAATTAAAGTATAATTAAGTTTAAATGCCTTGGTGAAGGAATATAAAAATTATTTAAATTCAATCAGCTAGTACATTTGCAGTTTTCTTTTATTAGGTGTGAAATCTAAGAATCCCCTGCCAACTCTTGAGGGCTCAGTCCAGAATGTTGAACTGAAGTACTGCAGTACATCATTGGTCAGATATGCCTCTGGGACCATGGGATCAATAAAAATTTGTGCCAAAGCCCCAGGTATGTGCAGCTGGACCGTGTAAAACTTTATTGCCTGTATAGGAGAATTGGCCTTGCATTTTATAAGGAACGTTACTGAAACAAGAATTTGCTCATTGTTCCTACAGAGGTTTTAAATTTTTTCTTTTTTACTTGAAAAAATGTTTTAAATTGTGCCAGGATGATACTTCTTTTTAAATAAATTAATTTCCATTTAATGAAAAATACTTTCTTTGAATAGTTTTAAGAATGGTAATGAGGGAGAACAACTAAACTTCATTCTTATACTTTTTGGGGAGGATAGGAGATACAGATATATATGACAGTTAAAATTAAATTAAAATGTTAGTATAATAAAAAAAAAACCCAGCTGTTTTTCAATTTAAGGTTGTAATATACTTCACCTTCTTACCAATACTTATTTCATAATACTTTCCTTAAACTATTTGTAATTTTTTTCAGTGCAAATTAAATTTCTTGAGAAATTTAAAGAGGTACAAATCCACTGAATATTTAGAATATACTGTATTTCCTTTTTGTAAGCTTACTGAACATGTTCTACATTAATTAGGTAAATTTTAAAACTTAATTTTTAAGAGTTAAATGTGCTTTTATATTAGTCATATTTTTTTAGAGAATAAATGTACAGCTAAAATGACCAAATATTGAAATGTTATATTATGATAGTATGTTTCAAGATCAAGCATCCTCATGCTACTTCTATATTTTATATGATTTTTTTTTCATTAATATTTCTATTCAGGTGATAGTGGAAAGGAGAAGTTGATTCCATTGCTTCAGGGTCCTTCTGACACTAAAGACCTTCATAGCAGCAAGTGGCTCAATGAGAGTAGAAAGCCAGAATCTCTCTTAGCTCCAGATTTGATAGTCTTCACAGTCCAAGTTCCACAATATATAGACTACTGCCATAATTCTGGTAAGTACAAACTTAATCATCATCACCTTTTTGCATAAGGTTTTTAAAAATTGGACTTAAAAAAAATAAGGGCCTCTTCTTTTTTCTTTTTTCTAAATAATTTGTGTCCATTGGGATGCTCTCTGTAGTGTGTCATTTTGATAAATGACCTATGTTTACAAACACGGTTTTATTTTATGTGAGAGATATTTCAGCTGTATGTATAACATTTTTAGATTCTTCTAAATCCAACTGAGTTTTAAAATACACTATATAACATGCAGGAAGGAGTAAAAGAAATTTAAAACATTGCAATGAAAGAAATATTTTTTGGGGGGATAGTAACACTTTGTGACCCATAGTTTGCCATATTAAAATTAGGTGTTTGGGCTTCCTGTAGTTTTGCAAAAAGGAAAAGGTGTTGGTAGAACCAAGAAAAAACTAAGAGGTCAAGATCTTATTCCTTAGTTATATATTTTTCTAGTAGTATTTTTCTAGAATCGGTTTCATTTCATTCACCACCATAATAGCAGAGCCATACCTCTCATGTTGAGAGGAGATGCCAGAGGATCAATGAAGACTGGAGAAAAAAAAGGTATGATAAAAAGAGACTAATATCTCCCATGAGTTCAGTTAGCCAGGATGTGGTTAGTAAAGCCAAGGTGGTCAGTCACTGAGGTTAGAAATAAGATAGCTGCATACAGAGTTCTTAAAAGAGTAGGGCACCTGAATTTTTTTTAGAGTTAATTGGCCCATGAGGAAGTGGTTTCAAATAGCTGTCTAAGAGTAGAGCTCCATTAAAATTATTCAACAAGTAATATAGCTTATAGAAAATGTTGTTCATCATTGCATGAGTTCAAAGTAAAAACCATGAAAGATCTGTAATTAACTAGACGAACTATGTGGAGGTGAATGTTCCAATCATTGTGCAAGTGTCCATATGCAGGAATACAAAAGATATTTGAAAGATGAATTTTGTTACAGTAGCATTTGCAGCTGAATGACATCCACGTTACAAACTGGAAATTAGTATTTGAAAGGTGAGCCTGAAGACCCCATCAGCATGATTCTAAAGACAACACTCCTCAAAAAGAAGTTATCAGCCTGGTGAGAATGGATATGGAACACTAAGGAAAAAGTGGATGAGGATGAGGGTAAACCCAAACTAAGACTGTACCTATGGATAAAAGATTTTACCAATCTTTTAAGGCAGGGATTGGGCAAATATTTTAATAAAGGGGCAGATAACTAGTATTTTAGGCTTTGTGGACCATATGTCTCTGTCTCAACTATTCAGTTTTGCTGTTTTAGCACAAAAATAACCATAGACAATATGTAAATATGAAAGGGTGTGACTTTCCAATAAAACTTTATTCACAAAAATGGGAGGTGGACCAGACTTAGCCAATGTGGTTTGCCTACTCCTGTTTTAGGGAGAAGGGATTGCTAGTTAAAAAAACATCATGCTTTTGTTAATGCTTATTTAATCAGGTTCCTTTTGGTAAACTTCTTTACATAATTATCTCTATAGCAGTTTTTGATAGGTTTTGTTTTCAAATCACCAAATCATTAAAAATATTATTAAAATAACCAGACCATTCAGTTATAATTTTGATACTTAAGAAGGGATTAAGCTTATTTGAAACTACCACATATTTTTTAATTGGATAGGGAATCCTAATTTTTTGTTTTGCCATATATTCGGAATGATTAATGTCTCAAGCTTATTTAAATAATAATCTGATCTTTCCTAGAACAATATATTATTATTTGTAATTTAAATGCGTTTCTGGGGTCAGAAAAATATATTTGTATTTCTAGCCTTTTGGGCCTAAAAGTAAACTGTTATTAAAAAAATTATACCTATGATATTTCTACGGTGAACTTTTATGTTTTTTTCATGGTGCTAAGGAAATTCACCTAGTCTTCAACACTAGTGTTATATTTAGTGATATGTTTATGGATTTGTGTGTATAATTGTGATGTGATAATGTATGTGGTGCTTTGAAAATATTTCTTTGGATATGTTTTAATCCTAAAACATGATATGTTTTTACTTAAACTACATTCACATACTTTATTTCAGACATTTTAAAATTTAAATTTTCCATCCACCAGGCAGTTGCCACCTACAGTCATGACTCAAATATTTGTGATATGAGTATGACAGAGCTCATAAGTATTATTTTTTTAAAGCCAGTTTAAAAATAATACTGATCAATCTATGTTCCTGTAACAAGATTTAATTTGGAGATGTGTGTGTGTCTGTATATTTAATTGATGTTGTAGACAAATCATAAATTTTAAATGAAATAATTTATTAACAGTCTTTCCCGACTTCACTAAAATATCACCCTATTTTCCTGATCACTGTACATAAGTTTTTTTCTTGCATATGTGTATGCACATACATGTGTTGATACACACTTATTCCCCCCACCTTTTTTTTTAGTTTTTCTTTGTGCTTACCACAGTCTTTCATACTATATATATATATATTACTGAATTAACTTGTTGATATTTTTCCCCAGTAGAATTTATGCTTCATTTGGGAAGAGATTTTTGTCTCTTTTGGTCGCTGCTGTATTCCTAGTATCTAGAACAATACCATATATAGTAGGTTATCAACAAATATTAACAAATGAATGAGTAAGTAAGTGCTGACTACATTTACTTTTCTTTGGTTTTTGAGGCTGGAGCACCTAAGGGAAATGACACAGGAGTCTTTCCTGATATTTAAAATGAAAAATGCTGGGTAGTTAAGCCCTTATAGGTGAATAATAAAAAGGAATCACAGGTAATCTCTGCTGTTCTTTCACAAATAGACAGATATCCTGCGGAGGTTGTTAAAAAACTTTTCTCATAGGTTTATAGAACTGAATGAGATGTATTTGAATATAGAGTAGTAAGTGATCAGCTAAGAGACAAATTGTGTATTTTTAAAGGAGTTTGGTTATCATTCTAACAGGCACTTGAATATTATGGGTTGATATGTGGAAGACAGCTGCCTTTATGCATATGCTCTCAAATTGAATGTAGGGGATTAAAACTGGGAGCCAGCAAATGTTGTGGATTTATTATAGAAGTCAGGAAGTAAGTTTTGAGAGAAGCTTAATTGGAATAGAGGTAGAGTTTTTTTCTCTGGCTTCAGAGTATGAGGGAATGGACAGCTTTAGTGATGGGAATTAGGTATTAGTATGACTGAAAGAAATGCTAATGGTATTAGCAAAACTTACAAAAAAGATACCTTACAATTTAAAAATCACTTTCATATAAATTCTTTTGTTTGTTTTCAAAAACAAGACTGTTTTTGGCATAGTAAATGTTATCTGAGTCTTACAGTAAGGAAATAAGAGACCTAGAAGTCTAAGTCATCAGACACTGAACTTGAACTTGGGGCTTCTAACTATATAACATTTTCCCACTATCCTAGACTATTTATAATATTGCCTTTTACTTAGGATCCATATTTCTAAACATTACCTACTAAAACCTTTGAATGTACTTAACTGAAGACTCTTGCCTTAGTGCATATTAAACACTGTCGGAAGAGCCACCCTTTCATGATGTCACAACATTGCTTTGTCTTTAAAGTCTCAATAACTCTCTTTGCACTTTTCTCTTTTCCCCCTTGATTGTGTTCTTGCTTTACTAGACTGACTTGGATTACAGTGAAGTATCTGAAGGTTTTTGTGGGAGTGCAGTGTGCCAGCCCACATTTTGTATCATTATTAACTATGCATGAGAACCATTTAATGACATTTCTGGTTCTTATATTTGTGTAGATATTAGGGGTCAAATAGATAAACAAGATGTGTCTTTGGTTCATTCAGAGGTAGAAGCAGTTTGTGACTTTAATTTATGTATGTAAAATATTTTTAAATGGGCTGTAAGCATTTTTCTTTCTTTACCCTTTAGGTACAGGCTTAGGCTCTTCCTCATATGTTGTGTTTTCCCTAAGATTTCTAGCAGGTTCTGCTTGTTAAAAAGTTGTGGGTCTATGTTAATCCTGGTATTAATCTACACATAAATTTGGGATTTCTTCTATTTAAGACTATAAAATGATCACAAAGTTCTATAAACTTAGAATCAAAGAATTTAGAGGTGAGTGTCAGGAGCCCTTTTTATGTGTCTCCCTCTTTCTGTATGTTCCAGTTCTCTTGGCCTTCTTTCAGCCTCTCAGTGGCAATTATGCTTTTGCTCTTTTTTCAGTCTGGAATTCTCACAAATATCCTTATTCTTTCACCTGAAACTGTTTAACTCCAGCTCAGTCTTAGGATCTTAGCTCAACTACTGCCTCTTGAAGGAAGCCCTCCCTGATGCTAGCTTCCCCTATCCGCCACCACTCAACTAGATTAAGTACCTATGTTACATTCATTTTCATAGTTCACTGTACTTTTCTTTCATAGCACTTCTGACAGTGTACATTTATATAGTGTGTGATTGTCTGTCTGTAACACTTGACAGTGAGTTCTTTGAGGGAAGAATTAGTCACTGGTTGCTTATCATTTATCTACAGAGCCTAACATTGTCTTACACATAGAGAAATGCTCGAGAAATTATTTGTTGAATAAATGAGTAAATGAACATGGTCAAGAGTATGAATGTGTTTGATAGAATTAAGTGGTAAGTCCTTAATACATGTTAACCACATTCCCATTTCTCTTTCTGTGTTTCTTTCTCCTCATGTATATATCTACCATTGGAGAAAATATCTACCAGAATCTTTCTTTGTTAGTTCTAATTACTATTAGATCCTCTGTTTTACTGTAATATCCATTCTTGGTCTAGTTTTATTCTTATAAGTGACATGAAATAATATGTCAGCTCTAAATATACCTGAAAAAAATGTATTATCTTATATTTCTTAATTTTATTTCCCTTTCTCATTATTCAACTTTTTCAGTCTTTGGCATTTATCATATGACCATACCCTTTCTGTTGAAACAGTCTCTCTTGGCCTCCAGGTATTAAGAGACAACTCGCTATAGGTTTTCAAGTTTTTGCATATCTTGTGAATG